AGAGAGAGAGAGAGAGAGAGAGAACAGTCCAAGATCGCAACAACCCTCCCCCTCTCCCAGCTAGACGCTGTAGCAAGCGAGCGTCGATCTATAGCGCATTTCTACCTTCATCGCCACCTCGCCTCGCATCTCCAGTTGAAATGTACCGAACTCTCTCAGCAGCTGTGTCGTCGTTGGGCTCACGTGTATCTTCATTGCTGCAAAGTCAACGCCGCAGAGAACGCGTGTCAGCCATAGAAATCATATAGGTAGACTAGGTATATAGTAGATATCTATATACGGTATATCTCTAATATAGCTGATAGGGTCTATGTCTCCCTGGGTTCTGCCGGACACTGCGGCTGCTGTTGTCAATAACAACAATCAATAATATCACAAATCAACAAACAATAAGGTCAGCAACAATAATAGCAGTTATAGTAGCAACATTAGTAGCAGCAACAACAACAACAACAACAACAGTTAGTAGCAACATTAGTAGCAGCAACAACAACAACAACAACAACAGTTAGTAGCAACATTAGTAGCAGCAACAGCAACAACAACAACAACAACAACAGTTAGTAGCAACATTAGTAGCAGCAACAACAACAACAACAACAACAGTTAGTAGCAACATTAGTAGCAGCAACAACAACAACAACAACAACAGTTAGTAGCAGCAGCAGCAACAGCAGCCGCAGTGTCCGGCAGTACCCAGGGAGACATAGATCGTATGAGCTCTAATATAGGTGTCGCTATATATTTCTGTGGTGTCAGTGTCACGTCACAGCCTCCTCGCTGATCAATCCCTCAGGTGTCCGGCTGGAGGGATTCACGTTTAAACTGTCATAAAGGACTTACAGGATGCGGTGTGATGCCCCTTCGATGTTTGTTGCTAGGTCGGATGAGGGAAACGAGAGGGTGGGGTACAAAAAAATCTACTCTGGGTGAGAAAAAAACTACGCAATGTCGCAGTTAGTTAAACATTTTGTCAATTTTGGCTTCCTCGCGTTGTGGCAGACTTCTATTTCTAAAATCGCGAAAAATTTATCTGCCGTATTTCTTGGTTCATTAAAACGGTTCAATCCCGCGTCCCAACAATATCCGCCCCACATGGGTCTGTTCAGCTAGACAGGTTTATACGAGGTTCACGTCAAAATGTCGCATTGACACGTCGCCGTGGCGTGTTCTACTAATATACTACTATATTAAGACACTAATACTATTACTAATGCTATACTAATATACTACTATACTAATATACTAATACTAATACTAATACTATACAGTCTATACTAATATACTACTATACTAATACTATACTCATATACTACTATAAGCATTGTCACTGGAATGATTCCACGCGATGCTGATTGGCTAGATCTGTCTGCCAATCGGATAAGCGAATTCCTTCTCGCGTTGGAGACGACGCAGACGCTGGCTGCGTCGCTGGCTGCGTCGCCCCGCTTCACTGTTACCTTCGCCGTTGGATTCCATCCTCGACGCAGTGTTTACCGTGTCTCCGAAGAGGCAGTAACGAGGCATCGTCAGGCCGACCACACCCGCCACGCACGGACCTGCGCATTGCATCATCGACGTTAGGTCACGCCAGGGGGCGCTACCAGTGCACAGCCAAGAAGGCC